ACGCTTCCCAGGGGACTCAGCCTTGTGTGGTGCTGCTGGAGGGCTCCGTTAATGCAGAGGAGGACTGAGCTTGGAGAGACACTGATTATTGCCGGATTGGGCTCAGGAGCCGGCAGGCCACGGTCTCTGCTGATGATAGATGTAAGAAGCCGTGCTACTCTAGTTCTCTAATCCTGGGGATCAAACCTGTTCACCTTCTTCTTTCTACCTTTTAGAGTTCTGTTTATTTGTATCTTACATTAACTCATGAGTTTATGTCAGAAAGAAACAGAGGAAGACAACTGACACAGTTTTGTCTGAATCAACAGTATTCCACCAATGCAGGCACAAAGGGGCAGCTTATTTAGCTAATAACGGTGTGGTGCCCAGAAAACCACATTTTGGGCTTCCATGTCATTTATTTCTGCAGTAGTAAGTGGGTAATGTCAGGGCTGAGGACTTAGCTCAGGGGCACAGCACCTGCCTGGCAAGTGCAAGGTCATGAGTTCAATTCCTGGTACCGGAAAACAAAACAAAACAAGTGGGTAATGTCCTTTAAAATCCAAACTCTGAGAAACCTAGTAGAAAAATATACTTTTTCAGTCACAGCATCTGGAGAACTTAATGCATAGTGTCTAGAAACATTTAAATTTTGCTAGTTTTGTTAATTACATTACATAAATCACAACATCCCTTTTAACATAAGAAAAAAGCAAATATTAAGAGTCAACATCTAAGAGTTAGTTTTCAATCAAGATTAAAAACATTTGTGGGTTCTGGATATAGGGGCTGAAACCAGATCAACCAATTCAGCCTGCAGCAGTCAGTGCAGTTTCACAGAGGACCTGAATGCAGGGGGGACTGCTAGATGGAACCAGCAGGCACTCTGAGTTCTGAGCTCAGCTGCCCACTCTCCAAGATGGCTCCCAGCCAACTGCCCTCTCTCATGGGATGACCAAGCCCTCAGCACTCACCCCCTGCTAGTGCACTCCTTCATGTCCACTGCTGCACTCCATTGCTGCATCTCTCCATGGGGGACTCTGGGTAACCAACAGCCTCCCTATTCCGCAGGTTTGAACCACTCCTCTCAAGCTGTGAGTCCTGACTCAGGGAGAGGGCTCTGCCAGCTACCTCCTTCTTCTTGGAAGTTTCTCTCTTGACTTTCTCCACAGGCTTCAATTCTCACTTCAAATCCTTCCTGGATCCAAGAGGCCCATTTCCCTCCTTCTAGTGTTCTTCACATTGCTATATTCCAGCACCCAGATGGCAACTCTCCAGGCACTTTCTCTGCTTCTTCCCGCTCTGCCATCTTGATGCTCCTCCAATTTTCTATCAGCAGTTTCCAACTTTTTTTTTATTTTGGGGGTATCTTCCTGTACTTTCCATTCAGGCTCTAAGTTCAAGGCCCACAAATTTCTGGCTTCTCCCCCATTTTTCTATAAATAACTCAAGTTTATCATTCACAGCAGAGTAATACTACATTGTGTATGAATACCACATTTTTAAAAATTTATTTTAAAAATAAAAGAAGGAAAACATTAACAAACAGACATCCATTTACAAAATAGTGTAAGAACAATATAAACAATACAGAGTTACAGACAAAGTGGTAGGAAATTAACAATGGTTGTTGTATGACATATTGATATCTTCAAAGTGGTTTCTAGACATGCAAGATTGATCAAATAAGTAATCATTAACTTCCTTTCAGTAAAGGAATAGAAGTCAGTAAGTACATCTATGTTAGCTATCCTGTATATACATACGTACATAGTTTCCTATTCTTTCTTTTCTCTTTTCCCTTTTCCCTCACCCCAGTTGCTCTTTTCTTTTGAGCATTTTCTTTTTGCTTCACAATGTCTATCATACCTCCTAATTTTTATTCACTCTTTCAGATTCTTACACTAGTGAGACAATATGATGCTTACACGTGGAGGTCTGGTTTTTTTCACTTATGAGTATGGTCTCTAGTTGTGACCATCTACTTGTAAAGCCTCCTGCTTATCTTTCTTTATAGCTGAGTAGCATTGAACTTCAAGGGAGATAAAGGTGCCGGCTTGCTGAGATTATCTGCTACCCCACCATAAAGCTACTGCTTGCTTGCTGGGATAAATCAACGTAGATCTGGTCTTTGTCTCCACATGTTGTCTACCAGTGACAGCATGGACAAACGTGGGAATGGACTCCCTCTCCCACCATCTCTTGTTTGTTTTTTATCATTGTGATGGTGGTTTTGTTTTTGCTTTTTTTTGTTTTTTTCTCCTTTATTGCTTGATCTTGTTTTTATATGAGCATAAGTGTGGTTTCTTAAAAAACAACACTTGTGGAAATTTTTAGCAATGTAAAAGATGTTTTTAACTTTGATACGATTTATCTTATTGATTTTTTATGCTAAACATTAAGAATTCTGCAAAATAATACATTACTTTTTGAAATAGTGAAAGCTTTCATACTGATTATGTAAATGAATTCATTTTTTTCTGACAGAAATTTATAAATTCTCTCTCACGTCCATCTTGGATTGGCATCTCCCGTTCCAGCAGAGATCATCCTTGGATGTTGGTAAATGGCTCAATGTCCAATCTACAGTAAGTATTTTTTTTAACAATTGATACATGTAGAAGAAGAAAAGAAAAGAAAATTTCAGAAGAATGTTATTATTAATGTATTTGAATATGCAGAAGTATGTTGCAAGTTTGTGAAATATTAATATAAATGTTAATGAATAGCTTGTTTTCCAAATACCAGCTCTTACTAATATTATTATTTGAAAAGTCATTATCTATTTAATATACCATAAAAGTATATCACCTTTTGACAGGAAAATGCTTTTGTTTCATAGGTCATTCCCCAAACATAAAACTTAATGGTACATTTTTCACCATTACAGGATAAAGAACTCGTCTGGTGAATCCAACTGTGTATGGTTATCTTTATCTCATTTTATTGCTGGAAACTGTGGATCATTATACATGTATACTTGTAAATGTAAATTTTTGAATTAATATACCTGAATTTGGAAACTGTGAGGTAATTTTCTATTTCATAAAATGTAATAATATTATGATTATACAGGGCTTAAATTGATGAGTTCTACTAACAGACTTATTTTTGAAAAACTACTGTTGAAATATATTAGTTAGACTACAAAGGGAGAATACTGCTTTTGTGGCTACTTCCTTTTGGTCAAGATTATATTTGGGGCATTCTGCAACTCTTCTAAAAGATTACACATGCTACCTGAGTCCATTTCTGTGAGATATCAAAAAGAAGCAAACACACAGACAATGTGGATTGGGGGTTTTGAGAGACTAATAGAGTAAGAGAGCGATGAACTCAGACATGACCACTAGTCAGGATAGCGTTTCCTTTGTGAATCATGTAAACGTTAGAAAACTTGATAGTTGTAACTCTGTGAATGTACTAAAAACCATTACAGGACAAAGCTGTGTTATCCTGTATACAGCTGTGTTAATGGATGAATTACATGTTGTGTACATTAATTTTAATAAAACCGTTTAAAAATTCTTCTGGGATTGTGTTTGAGGGTACATTTAATCTTCAAAGTAATTTCTAAAGTTTGGTTATCCTTATAATACTGACTTTTCCAAACATTTCACATTGTGTTCTTCAAAATATAACTTTCTTTTCTATCCTATTTTGTAGGTTTGATATTCAAATCTTATTGAAAATACAGCTACTTGCATACAAGCTTTGTAGATGGTACCTTTACTCTAATATTTTCATTAGTAATTTTTGTTACTGTACATAGAAACACACTTGAAGTTTGTGTGCTGATTTTGTATCCAGTGACTTCACTAATTTTATATGTTAATTCTATTATTCAAGTAATGATTCTTCAGGATTTTCTTTATAAACAACTACTTCATCTGTTAATAGTCACATTTATCTTTTCTTTCCAAGCGCAAAATCTATTTGATTTTTCTTGACTTATTTTTACTGGCTGCTGTTCTGTTTCCAGTGTTAAACTGAAGCTATAGTAAAGGTTTTGTTTGTCTCATATGCCTCATCATATATTTTAGGGGAAACAATTTCAGCATTTCATCGGGATTTATGAATTTTTCCATTACATTTTTCTCATACTGGAGTTCTATAATATTCCTACTTCCTAATAGGTTTTATCATAGAATCACCATTCTGTATTGCATTTTTACTGTACTATTACTACTACTGTATTGTATTTTATTGTATCAAGATTTCTTTCCTTATTCGTGTTCAAAGATAGATACACGTGAGAAAATACACCACTAGTTTTGCTCTCCAGGATTCCCTCGACAGTCTTCCCCTTCATAAGCAGAAGCCTTTGTGTAGAAGCGCTGTTAGATTTTTTGTTTGTTTTGCTTTTTTTTTTTTTTCCCGGTACCAGGAATCGAACTCACGAGCTTGCGCTTGCCAGGCAGGCGCTGCGCTGCTGAGCTAAATCCCCAGCCCCTGCGCTGTTAGATTTTTAAATGTTACTATTCATGATGGATTCCATGAGTTTTTAGAATTGCTCAATAAGGTTTATTTACGAAATTCAGTTTAATACATGTGATTTTACTCAAGTTCTATTTGTTTTACTGCATTTGGTAACGTGTATGCTTTCGAGGAATATCTATGTCTTACAAATGTTAAAATGCATTCTTAGCATGGTTTATTTTCTACTTAGTAGATGTTAAAGGTGAAATGATAGTTATACTTTCAATTCAGATTTAAAATATTTGTGTCTTTCCAATTTTATTCCTCAACAGTCTTTTATCAATTTTATCACATTTTCTCCATGAAAATAACTTTACTTTTAGATCTTTTCTACTGTAATTGTTTTCTGTCTTGGTTTTGTGCTACTTCTGCTTTCTATTCTCTGCTTAATTGTATTAAATTTCAGCTTTTCTTTTTAAAAATTTCTTGTAATGACACTCCAATAATTGTTTTTTTTTGCAATGTTGCCTTTAAGCTGTCAATTTCTCATGAGAGCACATTTTGCTATGTTATAGTTTTTGTATAATTTGTATAAAATTGTAAACATTCACTGTGATAATTTCTTTAATAGAATTTGAAAAACTTTTGGTTATTGACCTCATTTTAGGTCAGGTAATTTTTTTGAAGCTGAGATATTTTATCTTCTGTTTAAATATAAGTGGACTGAGAAACAAATGTTAAACTTTTACATATTTTTCATTAAAATTTAAACTCCAAGTGTCTACTGGGAAAATTTGCCTAGGGGGCTACTGCATCATTAGCACAGTGTTAAAGGTTTATATTAATATGCATGAGATTGGGAGAATATAGTGTATTTATGGAAATGTCCACGTGAATTTAAAAATACAAGTATTCTGTGTTGGCATTGAGTGTATATGTCAGTATGTTCCTATGTATTTGTTGGTTATCTAGTTTAAGCATTTCCATAGCCTTACTAAGATATTTGCTTGTTTGATAAGCAACAGTACAGAAGTGCTTAAACATTCACTAATGACTGTTTGTTTATTTACTTCTTTCAGTTCTGTGTAAAACTTGTATTTTTAGGGATACATGCATTTTTCATAAAACATTGTCAGTGATTTGCGTTATAAATCTGCCTTTATAAAATGCTTCTTTATTTCCAACAACAATTCTTTTTTAATGATAGTGTATCAACTGTGTTAGTTTTCCATTGCTTTGTGATGCATTGTATGTTTTTCTTGTTAAGAGAATATCTCTGTAAGGCATTTAAGATATTTTAAATGGTTATCTCATTTAAAAGAGTATCTCCTGGAAGATATTTTCAAAATAGTTTGTACTAATTAAATATTACTCCATACATTTGATATTTCTTTTTTTTTT